GACTGTGACCAGTGATAGTCATGTATATAGAGATTAGAAATGCATGTGAAAACGTCTCAATGTCAATTGCTTTGGAATGAATTCTTCTTTATAAAAAAAAAATTAAAAAAAAAATTAAAAAAAAAAAAAAAAAAGATGCTGGGATAAAGTACTTTCCATGCAAGTGAGGACCAGAGTTCAGATCTCTAGAACCCACATAAAAGTCAGGTGGGCGTGGCAGCCAGCTGCAATCCCACTGTCCAAGAAGCGGAGACAAGAATTCTCAGAGAAAGCTGGCTGGCCAGAGCAGTCAAAATGGTTAAGGGTTCAGCAAGAGACCCCACCCCAACACATAAGGTGCAGAGTGATCAAGAACACCCAATGTCAACTACAGAACTACAAACTCACAAATACACATATACCCATATACACGTGAACGTATGCATACACATGCATGCATGCCACACACATACATATGAAAACAGAGAATATGTATTAGAATAACAAAATTCTATCTCAATAAACTATGGCAAAGAAAACAACAAATTAAAGAAAGAAAACAATGCAAAAAATAGTAAAGAGAAGAATCAAATAGGAGATAAAGTATAATTTAAAAAATCAACAAAAGAAATTAATCTTCAGAAAATAAAGGAAAAGAAGCAATGAATGAAGAAAGGAAAAAAGGAATGAAAATTACAGGCCAATTACTCTGATGACCATAGGGACAAAAATTCTAATCATGGTGTTTATAAAATGACGCCATCATTATATTACATTAATATATCATGACCAAGTAAGACTTATTTTAGGAATTCAAAACTTGTTTCAATGTGATCCACATTATTTGATTTTTAAATAGACAATTTTAGTTAATTTCAAAAACCATTTGATAAAATCCAAGATTTATCCACACCTTTCCTTTGTGCGTGCATTAGTGTACACATGTGAATGTGTATATACATACCTGTGAATGCACATGAAAAAGCCAGAGATTGACATCAAGTGTCTTCTTCAATCACTCTCTACCTGGAGCTTACTGACTGACTAGATTGGCTGGCCAGGAAGCCCCTAGGATCCTTGTCTCCAGTTTGGGATTACAGGTGGGCATCGCATGCCCAGCTTTTTATGTGGGTGCTAGGGATCTGAACTCAGATCGTCCTACTTGCATAGTAAATACTTGACTAACTAAGCCATCTCTCCAGCCCAGGATTCATTCATTATTAAATAAACAAACAAAAGACTCTCAAAAAGTTCAGAATTTGCTTAACCAGATAAAGATACTATAAAAATCTACAGCTGGGGCTGTAGAGATGACTCGGCAGATAAGAGTACCTACTGCTTCTCCAGAGGACCCAGGGTTCTGTTCCTAGCATCCACATGGCAGCTAACAAATGCCTGTAACTCCAGTTCCAGGGGATCAAGAGTACCTACTGCTTCTCCAGAGGACCCAGGGTTCTGTTCCTAGCATCCACATGGCAGCTAACAAATGCCTGTAACTCCAGTTCCAGGGGATCTGATGCCCTCTTCTGGCCTCTGTGGGCATTGCCCACATGAGTGCACTTACATACATGCAGGCAAAACAGACACATAAAATGAATAAATCAAAAAATACTTTTAAATCAATAGTTAATATCATACTTTATAATGAAATGGTGAATACTTTTTAACTTGAGGTAAAAATAAGTCAAGAAAGTTGGGTGTGGTGGTGCAAGCCTTTAGCCCTAGCACTTGGAAGACAGAGGCAGGCAAATCTCTGTGAGTTCAAGACTAGTCTGGTCTACATAGCGAGTTCCAGGCCATCTGGAGCTACGGGGAGACCCTGTCTCAAAAAAAATAAAAAATAAAAAATAAAAATAAAAAAAGACAAGAATATTTACTTATCACTAATTTAATGTGTTAGGGAATATATAATATGTAGATATTAAGGATAAAGTAAAACGTTTATTTTCTGGAGGGTATGATCATCAATGTACAAACCCCAAAACTATTTCATGAATAAGTACATGCAGCAAAAGTAGCTGGAAAGTTAAAAAGTCAATATGTATAAATAAATTGCATTTGTAAATATTTAGGAAAAACAAAAAATTAAAAACAGCACTTTAAAATGAATATAAACAGGCCAATGGTCTAGAAATAAATTTAACACAAAAATGGAAGCGCTCTCTAGGTTATAAACTGTAAAATGCTGCTGAAAGAACTACCAAAATTAGAGCAAGGAGCATATCACATTCACAGAAAAAAGAATTCAGAATAGTAACACTTTTCCTTTATTTAGTTAAACATTTTATTTACTATTTTTATTTTATATGTATGTGTGTATTGCCTACATGTATGTAAGTGCATCCATGTCGTGCAATGCCCATGGAGGATAGAAGAGGCTGTTGGATCCCCTGGAACTGGAGTTCTAGACAGTTGTCAGCTGCCATGTCGGTACTGGGATTCAAACCTGGGTTTTCTGCAAAAACAGTCAGTGTTCTTAACTGCTGAGCCATCTCTCCAGCCCCACAGAATAGTCATACTTTTCAATTCTCTCCAGATTAAACTACATATTTCACATATCCAAACCCACTAGAGTTTTTGTACATATAGTAAAAATTAACAATTTATATGGAAATTTAGAGATTTGATTCTAAAGAAGACAAACTTGAAGGGAAAAAAATATTGAACATCAGTGTAACAAGCATCACGACTTAATTCTCAAATGCTAAGCAAGAATCAACAAAGCAGTAGAAATGGAGCCCTGAAAGACTCATACATACAGAGGTATGTGTGCTTATAATAGGCATCATTGTCATTTAGTGGGTGTTCATGGCTTTTGAAGGAAAGGTGCTGTGTCAATTAGATATCCATATGGAAAAAAGTGAATTTTGACTGCTACAGCATTCACAAAAATAAACCTAGGAAAAATTGTAGACTTAATCATGAAAAGTAAAGTAATAAAAGTTCTAAGACAAAACATTAAGTAAAAATCTTTGTGAACTCTTGCTCAGTTTCAGTACTCTAGCTCCTAAGGAGAATGCCCCAATAAACCACTAACCATTAAAAAATGATAAATTAGACCATTTATAGTTTAAAATCATCATAAAAGGGGATAGAGAGGTGGCTCAGCAATTAAGAACAATGACTGTTCTTACAGAAGACCTAAATTCGAATCCCAGCACCCACATGGCAGCTAACAACTGTCCGAAACTCCAGTTCCAGGGGATCCCACAGCCTCTTCTGACCTCTGCGGACATTGCACGACATGGGTGCACTTACCTACATACAGGCAATACACGCATACATATAAAATAAAAATAATAAATGATAAAAAAATCATCATAAAAATAGCATTTAAAGTAAAGCTCCATAGTATAAATGAACCACATTTTCATTATCCACTCGTCAATTGAGGGACACTTACGTTGCTTCCATCTCTTAGCTACTGTGAAAAGAGCAGCAACAAACATGGATGTACAA